CCCTCCCTCCCTTTCTCTCTTTCCCTCCCCCTCTCTTTCTCTCCCTGCTTTCTCTCTTTCCCTCCCTCCCCTTTCTCTTTCTCTTTCCCCTATTTCTTTCCCACTTTCTTCCTCTTTCTCTCCCTTTTCCCCTCCCTCCCCTTTCTCTTTCTCTCCCCCTCTCTTTCTCTCTTCCCTCCTTCCTCCCTCACTCCCTCACTCTCTTTCTCTTTCCCCTTTTCTCTCTCTCCCCTCCTCTCTCTCTTTCCCTCCCTCACTCACTTTCTCTCTCTATTTCTCTGTCTCTGTCTCTCTCTCTCTCTTTCCCTCCCACCGCCTTTCTTTCTCCCCTGCAGAGTCTCAGCTTGCTCTCGCCTCCCAATGCAATCCGGGAGGTGAGAGTGAGCTGAGAAACCTCCATCCTTCCTCCTTACCTTATTCCCCCCCCCCACACACACAGACACCAATCCTTTTCCAATTGCTTTGCCCCTCTCAGGCCTTTGAGAGGAGCCTGCCACATGCACTTTCTATTGAGGATGGGCTTATTTCAGGGTGAGTACACATGGTGACAAAGAGGCGGGATTTAAATAGTCAGGCAAGCTGGGATGGGGGAGGGAAGCATCGAAGAAGAGGTGGTGGCAACAGCACATGCACCTTCGCCCGCTGCAGCTGCCAGGGCTTCTCCTTCATCATGGGCTGAAGGAGGAGGAGGGGACCCCCATTGGGAAGATAAATTCTACTGTGCTCCTGCTCAAGGCAGCAACAGCAAATGTACCATGAGGAAGGAGGAAGGCTGTTTTGCATGGCTTTTTAGTCCCACAAATGATGATGAGAAACATGAAGGAGCTGGGCTAGGGGGATGGCATGTGTTCCCAGAGAGAGGGCTCTACGTGCCACATCTGGCACCATGCCATAGGTTCACCATCACAGACCTATATGATTAGAGGTAGATAAAGAATCAATTAATCTTTCTAGGCACATTTCCTAGATCCTGACAGATGGCACTTCTTGATATACTTGACTCTGAATGCCTACCTTTTGAAATGTAATTAGCTGGGGGGGAGTTAGTTGTGCAAATAATCTAGAATTCAAACTAAAAAGCAGAAGAAATTTATTTTTCTGACAGCAGAGGGGCTTGTCCAATCTGCTTCACCCTCCTAGGCCCTCCCTCAAGGTTTTTCTGCTATTCCTCCCTCTAGATATGAAATTGTGAAATTTGAAGATAATAGCAATGGCGCTTAGATTTATCAACTGCTTCATGTGCTTTACAGCTCTCTCTAAGCAGTTTACAGAGTCAGCCTGTGGCCCCCAACAATCTGGGTCCTCATTTTACCAACTTCAGAAGGATGGAAGGCTGAGTCAACCTTGAGTTGGTAAGAATCAAACTGCCGAACTGCTGGCAAAAATAAATAAATAAAAAAACATTGAGCTTTAATCTGTCTTTTAACTTGCACTTTCATGACAGTGTTTCAGATGAATCCACTTCCTCAAGACCTGCCCTTTTCCTTGGTGTCCCCCACCTTCATGAATGGAGATGGTCCCCTCAGGACAAGGAATGCAGTCGTAGCAACAAACTGGCTCTCCTTCTCGCTTCCTCTTGACAAACCCAGGATGACAATTTTCCACACATTGGGACTGAGGGAGAGACTAAAAATATTTGAAAGAAAATAGATTGGGACAAAGCATGTATGAAAATGGATGTAAACATTAACTTAAGCCAAATAGTCCCTGGGCTTCACTTAGAAAAATATGAACTCATGAACTCATTCCAAACAAATTTAAGAAATATGAAATTCTGGCCAATTGTTCATTTACTCACTTCCCTTTGCTCTTGGCCTCTAACATTGAAATAAAACATTTTTTCTACTTAAGAAAGTCTGCAGGGATGGAATTGAAAAGATGTAAGTCTTAAGTGACAATGGCTTGGCTCCTTCCCCCAGGCCTCTTTAACATACATTTCTCCATTCTTGACATGATGATCTTGATTTAAATTTGGAAAAAGAGATTTATTAATTTTTTATTATATTAGATTTATTAAACAAAATTGTAGTAAAAAAAGAAACTTTGGACTAGTAGGATCTGGATAGGCTTCTTCTGGAGTATATAAAACAATGAGAATACTTCCCTTTGAAAGGAGTCCCAAACCATTCCCCAATTAAGTTACAAAAGGGGGGAAAATTCTTAAAAATTAGGGCTTTATTTATTTGTGGTTTTCCCCCTCAATTCATATGGCTCTCAACTAAGACTAAAACTGACTGCCTAGTTTCTAGAACTGGGGTGAGATGAGATGCAGGAGGGATCATGACAACCTGTCCCTCCAAAAGGGATCTTTTCCTCTTCAACAAGTTGGAGAAGAGTAGAAGACTTGTGTCCATCTCTGTATCTGGGTCGTTTTGTACTGAAGAACTGCAATTAGGGGGACACCAACTTGAAAAGAAAGACAAATCTACATTTCTTATTAGTTAAATTTGGATCATTTTTTCTGCTCAGAGGGACTTAACATAGTTAACCATAAAGATTCTCAGTTTTTCAGTTGAAGTGCCCTTTTCATCTAGGAGATTTCCTTTCAAATTATCCCTTGTTGTTTCCAAAATGAAGAAGGGCTTTTCTTTCAATCAAAGTCTTGTTTCAGTGCTTCAGTTTTTCAGGTTATGGGCATCTCGTATCAAAACAGCCTTTATGATTTCATGTGAAACATGAACATCTTCGGAGCTTCTTCAGAGGAGCAGAAGGCCTAATGTTTATCCCAGTGGGATGAAAGAGAGATATGGATACCTCTGGCTAGGTTTGGACTACTTAAAACATTGAACATCAGTGACCTTTCAAGAGAGACATTCCTCGATCTGGACAAGATGAGACATATTTCTCAAATGGACCAACAGGACCTCTAACCAGTCATGACTATATTTCATCTGATTCAGTCCAAACCTTAATGCAGACATTGGTTAAGAGAACCTGAGACTATTAGCAATACAAATGGCAGCACTTGAATATTTCTCACCAGCTTGATCAATGGTTTCCATTCTGAAGAATAATCATCCAGCAGCCAATATTGGACATGACTGAATCAGTTTGAAAGAATATTCCTTATCATGGCATCTGAAGGACACTTTTGTGAATAGTACTAAAGTCCCCACAGTCCATCTAACAAAATGTTAAGTTTTCTGTTCTGTACATTCAACTCACAGTAAGGGTCATCCTCCAGGGTGACTAGAATTAACCCACTTGAAATAGCTCATAATCTTTAAAAAAAAAAAAATAGAAAACACAGCAATATTTGACCCACCTTGTTGAGCAGATTTAGCCATGAAAGAGCAATTTCATTAATAATAAGTCTCTGTCTTTCAATATATCCCAGTTTCCTTTTGATCAAATCCCCCTCTGGTGAAATCACCATGACCTCAATGTCCATATCTGCAGCTATTTTTCCATTTTGGTCCAGGTAAAGTTTCCAGTGGGAAAGATTGTAGAACTCATTCTTCTCCAGAAAGGGATGGAACTAGAATGGAAACATCCAGGAATTTAAAAAGCAGAAACCTTGGTTTGTTATCCCACCTGATATTATTCTGCAGTTTTTTTCTTAATGTGCAAACATGCTTAATTGGGACAAGTGTTACCACTAAGCTCATACGTGAATGAGAAAGGTTCAACAAAATTTGTCAACTGTAAATTGAAAAAAAAATGTTTATTGAGAAAATATAATAGACACATTTGATCAATTACAGGGAACATTCTACAGCAGATATCAAATAAATTGAACAACAGTAAAAAAGAGATTATTCATAAACTCCTAGAAAATCAAGGTTACCCCAAAGCATAGAATTTTTCAAGATGAAAGTTCCCAAGATAATCTGCTCCCAGGTAAACCAAGCTGGAAATATGACAGGAGCTAATCCTAGTTTATTGGAGTGCTATTAAGAGAAGTCTAAAAATACAAATCTTCTGTAGGAAGTACACCCCAAAAGAACAGTGCACAAAACCTCTAAAGCAATGCCCCTTTAAGAAAACCAAAAAGCACTAGCAAAGAGGAGAAACAAGAACAGATACTCAGGTTAACTGAAAGTCTGGGCTTGCTGCCAAAAGCCATTAATGGCTGTTACAAAAAAATAACAAAGCCTGACATGGAAACACTTAAACAGAGCAATAAAGATAAGCAGGATCAGGCTAAAAGTAGCTCACTGAGGCACATAAAAACACATTTTTTCCTGCCTCTCTGACAGGATTAAGACTTAGGTTAGAAAAGACAAAATATTTAGGACCAGGATTAACCCATTAAAGCAGGAAAACAAAACCCAGGGCAATCACCTCAGCTGAAGGCACATCAAAACCCATCAAACTGCAGGTGCTTCAGAAGAAAATTAAGTGTAACAAGGTACAGCCNGGAGTCCATCAGCAGCTCCAACGGCTCCTGCTGGGCCACAACAGGTTAGGGACACTCTCCTCAGAACATCTGCTGTGTCTCTGGGAGGAATATTATACAGGCTATCTGGAAGATAAAATTACTGATATTTGCCCTGATCTGAACAAGGAAGGTCAAGGTGCCTAGTGCACCTTGCACTAGTCTGGTGTTGTGGGAGGAGTTTGAGCTAGTGACTCCAAAGAAAATGGACAAGTTATGTGAGAGATCCAGAAGGCCCTCAAAATGATGATTTTTGAAGGGTTTTGAAAATTTTGTTCTCACTTCTTGTGCCATATCCATCATTGGACATTGGCGACCCTATTTTTATCAGCAGCCATGCAAAAAAAAAATGTAGTTGAGTTTTGTCCAAACCAGCCCCTTAGATCTTGAAACCATGATGTTCTTCTTCTGCCTGGTCCTTCTTTATCTTCAATTTTTCCTTGGAGGATTAAGTGAAATATGTGGTATTTTTCCAGGTCTTGCATCACATGGCCAATATATTCTAACATTCACTTTTTAATGGTTTTGATGATTTCCCTTGGCTTTCCCAGGTGGCTTATCCTCTTCTCATTTAACATCAATCTTTGAAAACTAGTTAATCGCATACATGTTTTGAAGAAAATCAGCAAATGTATAGGATTAACAGTTTCTCTCCAAAACAACAGAATAACAGAAGACACTGTACAAAACCTGGCCATATTTCTATGTGTTTCTGAAGCTGCATCAGCAAAAACAGTCTTTCTCTACATTGGTTAAAGTTGCAGATTGTGGCACAGTCCTTAAATGCTATTTATTTATCCAAGCCGAAGAAGGGATGAAGAAGGCTCAGAACTCTTTGGGTGCAAGAAAGATACAGCCATGATAGAATCAAGAAGTGAGATACACCCCAGCAAGCATATTTCTGCTAAATTTGAAAAATTGTGATAATTTCAGGAGGAATTCCTTCTTTGAATGGGATGTCCTTGCAAACTTCCATTTTCAAAAGTTAAGAACATGACTTCTGAATCAGGCCACGATCCATCTATATCTCTCAGTGCAAGAGATATAGTAAGTTGGTAAGAACACACTTGGAATATTGCATCCAGTTTTGGAATTGGATGTCTAGTTTAATGAAAAGAATGACTAGGGGTGACATGACAACAGTCTTCCAATATTTGAAGGGCTGCCACAAAGAAAAGGGAGTCAATCTATCATACAAAGCACCAAAAGGCAGGACAAGGAGCAAAAGACAGAAACTAATCAAGAAGAGAAGCAACCAAGAACTAAGAAAAGTCTCCTAACAGTTAGAACAACGTATCAGTGGAACTACGTGCCTCCAGAAGTTATAGGTGCTCCAACACTGGAGCTTTTAAAAAGAGATTGGACAACCATTTGTATGAAATGATATAGGGTTTTCTGCCTCAGCAGGAGTTTGGACTGGAATACCTCTGAAGTCCATTTCAATTCTGTTATTCTGTTATTCATGACCCAAATAATTTTGGTATGTCCACCAAAGAAATGGACGAATTGTTGCAACTTGGTAAGGATGATTTCCCTTGGCTTTCCCAGGTGGCTTATCCTGGTAAGGAGTATTTGTGCCCAATTCTACCTCCATCCCTTGCACCACATTTATGGAACACTGAAATATGGATACTCTCAGTCTTTTAGGAATTATTTTGTAAAACTCTTGTATATCTATATTTCAGCTACCCTCTTATTTTATTTCCTTATAATTTGACCAGTTGGATAATCCAGATTAATATCCTCCTCAAATGGCTGGGAGGTATCTCTCCATTCTCTTTTTGCTGATGGTGCTGAGATCTTGAGTACAATAGTGAAAAAAACAAAAACACCCAACTGCTGATAACCCAACCTATGATAAAAGTAAAATAGTGGAACTTTTAGACAAACAAAAATATTGAGACAACCAAAATTATCCAAAAATATTTCTGGCATATGAACAACATTACTATTGCACAAGTTTCAAATATTTGGGGTGTGGCATTTCAGGCTTCAGGTACACCAAGGGCACAGAGCAAATGTGCTAATTTGACTGCTCAAAAGAGGACATCTTGCAATTATACTGCATAAGGATGGGAGACACTAAATTCCAATTGCTTTTTGATTATTTCAGTTCATATTTGTTGCCCCAGCTTGAAACTGTATGGGGGAGAGCTTGAAATAATTTATATGCTTGGCCTGTTGAAATGTGTTGAGTATGGAAATTCTTTTAACTCACATTTATACACTTCTTCTGGTTGTAAGATGCTCCTTTGTATTGAGGTCTGGCCTCAGAATGATAATGTAGCACTTAGGGCTGAAGACACAGACCAGCAGACCAGCACTGGAGGCCAAGATTGAGAAGACCTGAACAGCCACCATGTATTTGCCTTTGGTGCTCATGTAGGTGGGCAGGAAGGAGACCCAAACATTGCAGAAGACCAGCATGCTGAAGGTGATCAGCTTGGCTTCATTGAAAGCCCCAGGTAGGTTTCTGGCCAGGAAAGCCACTGTGAAGCATATGGCAGCCAGGAAGCCCATGTAGCTGAGGTTGATGTAGAACATGAAAACAGAGCCTTCATTGCATTGCAGGATGATCTCTCCAGGCTGAGAGTGAAAATCAGAGTCAGAGAATGGGGGAGAAATTCCCAGCCAGATGGAGCAGATCATAATTTGGACACTAGAACAAGAAAGGATGATGGAGTTGGCCAAGCTCTTCCCCAAACATCTCTTCATTTGGTTGCCTGGTTTTGTGGCCAGAAAAGCCAGCACCACTGTGATGGTTTTGGCCAAGAGTGAAGAAATAGCAACTGAGAAGATGATGCTGAAAACTGTTTGTCGGAGAAGGCAGGTGACTTTCCTTGGTTGACCAATGAAGAGAAAAGGAGACAAGAAACAAAGCAAGAGGGAGACAAGGAGGATGTAAGAGAGGTCCCGGTTGTTGGCTTTGACAATGGGAGTTTNGACAGCTTTAAGACTTGTGGACTTCAACTCCCAGAATTCCTCCTCTCACTCTTCATCTTGATGATGTGCAGATGGGCGGGGGAAGGGAGCTGGAACCGGTTCTAAACGGCACGGTAGATTTGTGGAACCTCTTCTATAGAAGAGGTTAGAACTGGCAGGAACACACCCCTGCAATCACTGAACCATAGTTTTGATATCACACATGAGTAAAATTATCTTGAAGATAATCCAGCAATGTTTGAATCCACTCGCCAAGAGGGAACTGCCTGATGTTGAAGCAGGATTTCAGAAAGGAAAAGGAACATGTGATCAGTGGTGAAATTCAAATTTTTTTACTCCCAGTTCTGTGGGCATGGCTTGGTGGGCGTGGCTTGGTGGGCAGGAAGAATATTGTAAAATATCTATTTCCAACCCACTCCAAGGCCAGATAGAGGTGGCATTTGTTGGTTCTCCAAACTATTCAAAATTTCCGCTACCAGTTCTCCAGAATCTGCTGAATTTCACCCTTGCATGTGATCAGATTGGCAATCTACAGTATGTTAGGTAATGGAAAATGCAAAGAAATTCCAAAAAGACCTCTACCTGTGCTTCATTGACTACACAAAAGCCTTTGATTGTGTTGACCCTGACAAGCTTTGGAACTGCTTCAAAGAATTTGGAATATCATCATACTCATCCAGCTTATCCAGTCATTGTACTCTGATCAAGTAGCCACTGAAAAAACAGAATGTGCAGGCACAAAACTGTTCAGTATTGAAAAGGGCACTCAACAAGGTCACATCCTATCTCCTGTACTATTCAACACGTACACAGAAATATTTATGAGAAATGCACACTTGGAGGAATCTACCATTTGGGTTAAAAGCAATGGTAGGAATATTAACCACCTCTGATATGCAGATGATACAACATTGCTTGCAGAAAGCAAGGAGGACCTGGAATGGCTAATCCTGAGAGTCAAAGATGAAAGTGAAAATGCTTGAACTGTACTGAACATCAGGAAAACAAAGATAGTGACATCTGCAGAGAACACACAGGTCAGAGTGCAGATCAACAATGACACCATCAAAACAATAAAGGAATTCACTTGGAAGCATTTGGAAGAGGTGCAATGTCTACCATGAAAATCATTTGGAAGAGTAAAGCTTCACAACCTCATAACCTAATGCAGACTAGTTAATGTAGTATTTTTTCCCCAATTGCTACTTATGGCTGCAAAACCTGGACTCTGAAAAAGGCAAATAGGAGAAGGGTGGACACCTTGGAACTGTGGTGCTGGAGGTTGCCTATGACACATTCAATGAACTGCAAAAGTAACAAACAAAGAAGTCCTAGACTGAATCTCATCAAAAATTCACTTGAAGCCAAGATCACCAAAGAGAGGCTGTCCTACTTTGGTCATGTCATGAGAAGGGATGCACTTGAAAAGTGAGACATGATGGGAATGATGAGCAGAAAAAGGAGAAGGAGCCACCATAGTACCCGCTGGCTGGACACTATAAAATATGACACTGGGGTGACCGCGGAGGATCTGAAGGAGACCTTGCGAGACAGAGGTGCATGAAGAGTGTTGATCTATAGAGTGGCTGAGGGTTAGAGAATGACTGTGGCTGACAATGATGTATTTAAACATGGCAATTTGTAAGGTACCTTTGAAGCAGCTCATCTAATGGATGGATGGATGGATGGATGGATGGATGGATGGATGGATGGATGGATGGATGGATGGATGGATGGATATAATATGATATACGATATACATATGATATACAATATACGATATACGATATATGATATGGGTAGTGTAGAGGAAGAGGGAGAGTGGGTGAGAGAGAGAGAAGTGGCATGCATTATTTATGTGTATAAACAACCTGTCAATAGAGGCTCAACCAAGCTGCATATTTCTGAATAGTTCAGCCAGTAAAATATCCTTTCCTGAGGCTTTATACCTTTTATGATGAATGTGATCATGGACAGATTTAGGTAAAGAAAAAGTTAATAAATTGCCTAATATGCTTGTAATCTTTTAATATATTAATGTTATGATCCATAAGGCATTTCTGTTTTATCAGCTGTAGGTAAAATGGTCACAATGAGAAGATAAAAATATGATTGGATCTTTCATTCAGTCACCCTACTCACTTTATCAGATAGAGAAACAAACACACACTAACCTGTGCAACTTTGTAGGTGCCTAATAATGTTGACATCTGTGTGGAGATTTCCCTGTAAGCCCCGTCAATAATAGCCAGAAGATTGTCTTTCCTTCCACAGCTGTAGTTGGGAACATTGGTTTTTCCAGTAGAGAGAATGTCCAGCATAGCATCAGAAGTGCGTAGAGTGCTCACATAGTTGTCATGGACATTGTATCCGAGTGTGAGATTGTGCAGGATCCAGATATTCTTATTGATCACTTGAATGGGGAGAATGAAGGGTAGCATTCCTCGCAGGGTAATATGTTTAGTCCTGTACAT